ACATACATGATCCTGGTGGAACACTGTTTATTCGCTAAGGTCAGGGCTTTTTTCGGGCTTTATTAGTTTGCTGATACACGTACGCCTAGCCACCCAGATAGCAACATACACTAGGGGCAGTTCCAGCTAGATTCCAGCCGGAGACTTACCCCTCAGAGCTCAGACTGACTACCTCTGCTGGACTTTCTCCAGATGCCTGGACTCACTGCCCGATTCCAGCCCGAGTCAATCGAGCCAGATGCGGCGGCCGAGCGAGCCGGCGCTGCCGCATGCGAGCCGGAATCAGCCCGCGATGCTGCGAGTAGGTTATGCGCCCGGAGCTGGCGCGATTGAATATATAAAACCCTCATATTTGTTAACGTTATTACATCCATTTGTGTTGATATGACAGCAAACGCATGCTGAGAAGTTCGGGGGGCATGGTTGATTTTACATAAAGCGTTTGGTTGGAAGCTCGACTCTCATTTTCGCGGCTCCTCCTCTCGCTCCATCAGACAGTCCTTCTGCGCATGTCAAGGCTCCAATTTCAGCAGTCTTTTGCGACAGTTTGTGCCCATCAAGCAGGCGTTTTGCCCTCAAAGCGTTCAATGGGAAAAGGGGCTGTCGCATGGTCCATATTTTTTACAGTCATTGTTTGTTCCCTATGAGTGAAGCCTGCGCAAAGAGGCGCGCACTCCGCAGCACAACAGCTGATCGGTTACTTAGGAACGCAAGCCATAAACAGGGAAGTGCTTTCATAATGTTCTTATTGATCATGTATTTTAACTGAAATATAGTCAGTTAAATAGACCTGAGCATTCATTTAGTTGTTTAGCGTAAAATAGGTAAGGGTAAGTGAAAGGTAAACGCCGTCAGGTGCAGCAGACAAGCGCCAAAAATCACAGGAAGCGCCTGGCCAGAAGCGCTTATTTAATAAAAGTCCCCGTGCACAGAGGCGGGCCGCTGCACTTCTTTTCCTGTGTCACGAAAGTGTGAACTGCATTTAAATGACATAAGCGTAAAGCTTAATTTTTGCAGTACTTTTGAGCTCAAATTATAATAAAAACTATATTAACCTTCAGAATGATGCAGGACACAAAATTCATCCATGTGGGCCCATTGATTACCCCTCATCTAAAATTTCTTTGCGGCCCCCCTAGCGCCATCTGGCGGCCCCCCAGGGGGCCGCGGCCCCCAGTTTGAAAACCCCTGCCCTAAGGACAAAAAGCAACCAGATCTATACTAACAACTAAACTTCTTTTTTCTATTGTAAATATTAATGTGGCATATACCCTTTTTGCTTTATTATTATTCTAATTATTGTTTTCCTACATTTTTTATGATGTGGATTTCATAATTGCAAGATTGGTATCATTTTGATTGTTAAATAATCAGCATATAAATCAGCATATATACACGCTGATGAAAAGTTTCTTTTCATCACATTTGTTAAGCTAACCCCCACGAACCACAAGACACTGCTTCCTTTCTGTTTATTAATTATCCAGTATTTTGGTGCATTAGCCTGTTTACTGGTGATAGGCAAACTCACTTATGGCCCGTTTTCCACTGAGTGGTACGGTACGGTTCGGTTTAGTACGCTTTAATGGCTGTTTCCACTGTCAAAAGGCGTACCGAACCAAACCGTACCGTACCACTTTTTCGGCACCCTTTCGAAAGGGTCCCAAACACAAGAAAGGGTACCAGGCGGTGGGAAATGCAGTTCAATACAGCAGGCGGCGAGGAGGAGATGGCGATGGAAAGACGGCGTATCGGGTTTAGCGACAGCTGTGGTGTGAATGAAGAGAATGAAGGTGGAAATTTAGACGATGACGATGATTCAACCAACTTAGATATGGAAGATGATTGGTATCAGGTTGAACAGAGATCTCAGAAGCGCAAGAACAGAAGTTCAGACTCTGAGGAGGTAGCAGCAGGAGGAGGAGAAGGAAGAAGCAAAACAATTTGGATGGAGGATGATTATAAAGTTATGATGTTTTCAAGCATATGAGATGAATATTCCCATGAGATTAACAAAAATGTTTAAAAAAGCTGTTGGGGAAATAAATTCAGCCAGATATTTATCAAACAACTGAGATCTTGTATTTTGTCTGAACAAAAAACAACAAGAAATGCTTATTAAAATGAAGGAGATAGGAGGAGTCGGAGTTAAATGCCACGTACCAGGAGAGGTAAGTGGCATTAAAGGAGTGATAACTGGAGTTCTGCTGTCTTTATCAGACGAGACATTAAGAAGTCAGTTAATAAGTGAAAAGGTAACAGATGTAAAAAGGTTGACAACAAATAGAAGTGGGAAAAGAGAGCCAAGTACAACAGTAATGATAATCATGAATGGGAAGCAACTACCAGATAATGTAAAAATGGGATATGTTATCCAGTAAGAGCGTTCATTAAACCTGCATTGAGGTTTTTCAAGTGCTAAAGACTGGGTCATGTAGCAGAAGTTTGTAAAGGAAAGCAAAGATGTTGTAAATGTGGAGGTGAACACAATTATGGTGAATGTGGGGATCTAGTCGAACCTAGGTGCTGAACCTAGGAGGTCCTCATAGTTCAGCATATTTAGGATGCAATGCTCAAAAACAAGCTGTGGAAGCAATGAAGTATAAAACAGAGTATAACATATCACAGGGGTTATCAAACTGGGGGCCGCCAGATGGCGCTAGGGGGGCCGCAAAGAAATTTTAGATGAGGGGTAATCAATGGGCCCACATGGATGAATTTTGTGTCCCGCATCATTCTGAAAGTTAATATAGTTTTTATTATAATTTGAGCTCAAAAGTACTGCAAAAATTAAGCTTTATGCTTATGTCATTTAAAAGCAGTTGACACTTTCGTGACACAGGAAAAGAAGCGCAGCGGCCCGCCTCTGTGCACAGGGACTTTTATTGAATAAGCGCTTCTGGCCAGGCGCTTTCTGTGATTTTTGGCGCTTGTCTGCTGCACCTGACGGCGTTTACCTTTCACTTACGCTTACCTATTTTACGCTAAACAACTAAATGAATGCTCAGGTCTGTTTAACCGACTATATTTCAGTTAAAATACATGATCAATAAGAACATCATGAAAGCACTTCCCTGTTTATGGCTTGCGTTCCTAAGTAACCGATCAGCTGTTGTGCTGCGGAGTGCGCGCCTCTCTGCGCAGGCTTCACTCATAGGGAACAAATAGCATTATAAAGACACGGCACAACATTGCACCTCGTCCACAGTGCGACAGGCTTTACACTTTGCATTGTACAGACGGTCCTCTTTGCAGCATGGCAAACAAACATATTACAATTGTAAAGCAAAAAGTGCTGCAATAACAATGAATGGAGCTGTCATCACAACAGCGAGTTCTCAGAGTTTCACTCCTGTTACACAAATGACAGCTGGATGAGCTCTGCTGTGGACCTCATACTCACATTGGTTCATAACTGGATGATTAAAAAAATCTAAATTGTATACACCCTGAGTAAAACCACTATAGCCTATAAAAATTATAATGTATTTGTTTGTGTTATGTTATAGGGCTAATTAATTATTAAATATTAAAACGTATTAGTGCCCTGTATTTAATGGAGCTCAACATATCTGATCAAATTTTAATACTCTGAATATAAATGCTTTTTTTCAAGATGTTCCACTTTTTCCCATATTTATTTGTGTAACTAATTTAAATGTAATGTTCAGTATTAATATTAATAGAACAAACTGGTATGAACATTTTAAAGTCAGCAAAGCTTCTAAAATTATGCAAAGTAAAACTTGTGGCTGTTTGAACTTGAATACCCAATTCTAGATTGCATTTAGGAAATTATTTTTTATCAGTGCAAGTCAGGATTGTCGACCTGAGTAAATTATGATGTGCACAAAAAAAAAAGGAATAAAAATAAACAAAACACACTGAACCACTACAGCCTCCATTGTAGTATTGCTAGTTACAACAGTACAGTTAACTGTTAACAGGCTAATGAATGACAAAACTCTTTAAAACTTTAAAGCTTTAAATCTTTAGACTCTCAGCTGTAAGGGTAAATACAGAAGAGTCTAGCTGTGCATAGGCAGAAAAAAAGCATAAAAATGGCATAAAAAACTGTGTAAAGTGACGACTCGTACACAAAATATGGCTTGATGGAATTCAGTGAGAGCAGACCACAATGAACACTGCGCATGAAGATTTGATCAATAGATTGAAGCACTGAAACCATGTCAACTCAACTAACATCTTCCAAAAATAATCCAGATAATGAATAAAATAAATGTATTGAATAATATATAATAGTATAAATGTATTGAATAATACAATAAAAAAAATTAAGTATAGTTGTTAATTTGAGGGGATGGCGTCATTTTTATTTTTGGGGGTCCCCAAAAGAATTCGCCCTACACAAAGGGCCCTCAGCTGAAAAAGTTTAAAACCCCTGCCTTAGGGTATCTGAATCAGCCCTGAAGTACTAGATATTAGACATCCTGTCTGTCCAGCATATTTGTGTATGTAATTGCCTAATTAAATTAAAAGGTTTAACATAGAAAATAAAAATCTTTCTTATGAGTTCTAATTAGTCTATTTATGAATACAGAGTGGGCCATTTATGTGGATACACCTTAATAAAATAGGAATGGTTGGTGATATTAACGTCCTGTTACATTATATGTAAAAAGGCTTGTAAATAACTAATGAAAGAACGTTAAACCAAGCACACCACTGTTTTTCTTGTGAAATTCCCAATAAGTTTTATTAAGGTGTATCCATGTAAATGGCTCACCATGTATATTGCTTAATTTTTGGAGACTTAGGCATTTCCTATAAAAAAATATTGCATATAATGTATCCAGCAAAACATGTATTGGAACGTTTTGAAGTTTTTTTTCTTCAATTTTCTTTCTCTGATAGTCTTTTCTTCCTAATACTTATTTGGTCCACACTCCAGTCCTGTAGGTGGCTGGAATGCAACTATCGGTTACTGGCTAACCGGCAAACTCAAAAGAAGACGAAAGACTACGAAGCGGAAAAAGATCAAGCGAGTGAAGTGTTTGGCTGGGCATTAACTTATTGTTATTTTATATATATATTTTTTTTACAAATCTTGATTGTTAAGGTTAAAAGCGTACAACGTGTTCTGAAATTAACATGACAGATAAGTGCAGCACAGAGAACTTTTGGTCCGCTGCTGATGTCTGGATCAATAAACCACACGTTGTAAACAAGAGACTGTCTGGCGTAACAGAGACGAAGTACAGGGATGTAGACACTTCAGGTTTAAACCAGGTATTATCTACTCTTCTGGGGAGCAGTATTGAGATCAGCCATATTTGTCAGTTTCTTCGCGTCGATAATGCGAATAAGGAGCTTGATACTGCAGGACGTTGGTGTGTTGGAGTCAGAACCATTATTCCCAAAGTGACCAAAACGGCAGAGTGTAACGTTATGTACAAAGACGTTATTGTTAAAGGTGAGAAACAACCTGTAACCATGAGAATATAATAGCTTTTTTTCATTTACTATAAACTACTTTCTTTTTTAAAGATATTGTTGGACATGCAGTGACATTTATCCCATTTGAAGAGATTGCTGGACATGTTACTCTCAAGAGCAGTAATATTTATCAAATCGACCTGAAGCCTGATGAAGGGTGAGTGTCTGTATGAATGGCAATTTACAACAAAGTAAACGACCCCAACATTTTTTTGGGGGGGTTAGTTTGAAGGATTTTTTGGAGCATTTTAGGAGTGAAAACTAATTATGTATCCGTCTACCTATATATGGATTATGCTCAAGAAACCATTAAAACAGCATGACACTGTTAAATGTAAAACTTTTATAATTTAAGTAATGTTTGCTAAATATATTAGCAATAAAGAAACATTTTGTAAATCACCGTCTTTATTCTTGTCTTTATATTATCTTTCAAGCACAATGTGTAACTTCAAGATGAAAATAGTTTATTTTATTACATTTTCTAATGAGATCATCAATACAGCAATGTGCCTGACTGTGTGAATTTGTGTAATCTTGTAATTTAGACATTAACTAGAGAATTAAAGACAAAAACAAATTAATTGTTCTAATTTTTTTTTACATGACAGAACAAAAAAATCCAGAAAATTATTAATGATAATAATTATGGTGGCCGAAAGTGCTTAACATGTTTCAATTTAAGAAAGCACATGTAATTACAAAAAACACTAGCAAATTAATAAACTATATCTTTATCAATTTGGCTATTTTAGTTGTCAGGTTAAACAATATTGCATGGGTGCAGATTTTCTATATGATTCAAGCCGTGTCCAAAACCTACTTTTGCAAACTAGTCCTAGGTTAAAGTGGTTAAGATCAAAATGTTCAAAGTAAGCAGAACCACATTTACTAAAACAATCATAACTCATGATAGGACTGACATATTTTTATCAAACTTTGAACATGTATGCAAGAGGTCAACATGAGGTTAACCACAAGATACAACCACTTGTCTGATCAATTTGAAATTCGGCATGCAGTGTCAGTTGCTATGTTTTCATCCAAAAATGCGAATGAGCGTTATGTGCAAAACTGAATTATTGCATAAAAGACTTGTGAACAAAGCAACGTTTCCATCCAATGAGTCAAAGCGTGCAAAATTGACACTTCCTGGTGGCTATTTCATAAAAGTGGTTAAGAAAAACGGGGATTAAAATCAAAAGCCTGACTTCAATGAGCCGAACTAAACGTCCATGCTTAAATTGGTTCCATAACAGCAAGTTGAAGATGATTTGATCGAACTAGTCTGAGTTCAGTTTAAATAATCTAGATAACTGCATGTGCACGTTTCTGTAGTGAAACCTTAAAAGTCGAGCATAGATACTGTACATGAATTATGTTGTGTGCTACCATGGCAACTTCAAGAACTCTGATATTAGACATAGCAGTTCCCATCGAGTGAGCCGCGAAACTGCATATTGCTCAATAGGCTACATTTGTAGCATATTTTTAAATTTAGGCTATTATTTAGACCTATTAACATGAAATTAAATATTTGTTATAATACATAGTAATTGTGCTTGACCACGCACATGTGCCTGAGAGGGAATTTGTGCTTACTGCCAAATGTTGCAGTTGCAGTTTTAATGCATTGCAGGCTCACTGTAAGATACAAAATCTTTTAAATGTAAGCACATAGGTTTAAAATAAACAAAGCCGTACACGCACAAGCGGTGGGATTTTTTATTTGCTTCCGAATCTGCTGCAAATTGCTGCATGCGCTATAGGTGAATTGAATAAGCTAAATTGGCCATAGTTTAAGAATGTGAATGAGTGTGCATGGATGTTTCCCAGTGATGGGTTGCAGCTGAAAAGCCATCCGCTGCATAAATCGTATGCTGTATAAGTTGGCTGTTCGTTGCGCTTTGGCAATCCCTGATTAATAAAGGCACTGAGTTGAAAAAAAAAAAAATTATATATATATATATATATATATATAGAGAGAGAGAGAGAGAGAGAGAGAGCGCTGAGGCTGAGAACACCCCTCACAGATCTTTCTTTTAAATTACTATTTTCTACAGGATGCTTTACAATAATAAATTTGTTTATATACATTAGAATATGCAGTACCAATGCAAAGTTTATATATATATATTTTTTTTTCATTATTTTTTTTATTATTTTTTTTTGCTATTAAGTGACTGTAAAGTTTTAATCATTATTAAGAGGTTAAGTGAATTAAAATGGCATCAGATTATGGCAGGTAACTACTTTACTTGATTAATTACTTTGATTAAGCTTGAACTTAAGACTTAGCCTGAGAGTTAGCCTGCTCTGGACCAGGCTAGTTTCCCAGCATAAGTTGCCAGGGTAACTAAGTTTGAACTATCGTAAATTTGATTTATGAAACCGAATCCGCCATTAAAAAACCTGACTCACCAAAATAAGCCTGTCTTTTTCTGTAAGCTTGGTTTATGGAATATCCCCTTGATTAACTGGTGCCAAATATCAACAGTAAAACTGGAAATTGCTTCAGTAAGAGAAGAAAACAATCTTTTCTTTATTTAATAAATGACTTGCGCCTCTGAAGGCAATGAACACATGGTGAAGTTTGAAGGTGTCAGAACCGGAGCACAGACAGTCTTGATTCTGGAGGTCATTATTAATATAATAACACTATAATTACTTTAATACTTAAACTGTAAGGCATTTTAAAACAACCAAAAACAACATTTCAGATGGTTTACCATGTGCTCAGTGTGCTTGTTTGTGCATTTACACACATTTTTATTATCACATGATCTCTTATAACAAAATCACATGACGTTTTTTAATGCGCAAACTGGAATTTGTTTGGTAAAAGTGTCCGTAATAGTTTATGTGCTCCTTTTCTTATCGAAAAATATGTTTATCCTACTCGGTTATGCGCATATGTTTTTATGCGCATTTTCAAAATTTCAACTGATTTTTTTATCTGCACATCCAAAACGCGCAAAGAATAGGTAGATGGAAACATAGCTAGTGTACAAGGTGGAATGAAGGACTAAGGATATTTGCGTATCTCAAAAATCATGGCCACTATCAGCCAATTAACACTAGGCAAAGTTAAATGATGGCCAATTGAAACAAAACTCAGTAGGGTATGTTCAACTCATGATTCTAAAAGGTCTGTATGAATTTTGAAAGAAATTAGCCACAAGCGACAATTGAGTTTTCTAATTATGTAATTATTAGTGTATTACAGCATTGCACAGGTACACAAAACCCATAATGGCCCATATGTCCCATACTGAACACAAAACCAGTGCTACCATTCTTTTGTCAAAAACCATTAATTAAACATTTGTTAAAATGTGAAAAAAATACTTTTGCAAACTAGTGCCTGATTTTCTTTTCTTGATCACCATGAAACCAGTGTTGTACAAATCTCTAGACTGCCTAGATCAATAGTCATTAAAAAAAAAAGTTTATTTCAAAATGTTCTATCTTGGATGGATTTAACAGCCTCATTTACAAAAGGAAATTTCTATATAGACCTACATGCCTGTAAACACTTTAAAACAAACTCTAAACTTCAAATATGGGTCTACAGAAAATGGTTTTAAATTTTCTAAAAACAAAACTGTAAGTATGAATTTCTGTCTTTTATAATCTCTACATCATAATCCAGAACTTACTATTTTTTTTATCAAAAATAAAAACAAATCAACACAACCCTGCAATCTTTCAACCTCAATATCTGGATTTGTATGAGGCAAGACCCAGCTATATTCGACCATTGGTGTACGGATCAGAACACGCATAAAAAATCTAAAAGTAAATCTTGATTCCATCCACCAGACTATCATTTGCCTGGTCCCACCATGGAGGTTAAAAAAGTTACGTGTAAATCTAGATCTAAGCAAGCAAAAGAAGGCTGATACTTTTCCATATACATATCAAGAAGCAGTTGCTAACAGAAGACATTTTTTTTATTCTACTCATAAACCAATATACACAGATGGATCAAAAAAGGACAGTCATGTTTCTGCAGCAAAAATGGGTCAATCACACTACGGCATTCGCATTCCAGATCAATGCTTAATTTTTACAGCCAAAGCAAAGGCTCTCTTTTTAGCTCGCGAACACATTGAAAATGCTGAAGAACACGATTTTATTATTTTTTCTGACTCAAAATCTTGTCTACAGACATTGAATTCTTTTAAACTGAAGCATCCCATTATTATTGACATTTTTATTAAAGTGAACGAATTACAGAGAAAGTTTTATAATATAGTCTTCTGCTGGATCCCAGGACATATCGGTCTACTTGGAAATGAATAAGCCGACAAAGCTGCCAAAACAGCCTTAGCAGGAAAGCTGAAGGAGTATGAAATCCCACCTTCGGATCTAAAGCCACTAATAAAAAGCTATATTCTCAACAACTGGCAAACAAAATGGGATCAGTGCTCAGAGAATAAACTTTTTGAAATCCAGCCAGAAATAGGAAGGGAATCTAAGACATGATGAGATTGTTTATAGAAGATGCCGCATTGGACACAAGAGACTCGCGCACGAACATTTACTTAAAGGAGAAGAACCACCAAAATGTCAATATTGCAACAGATACCAAACTGTTTAACATATTCTTATGGAATGCCCTATTTTTAATGTTATCAGGCAACAATTTTATGTGGAGAGACTTTAAATGAAATATTTTAAAATGTGAATCCATCTAAAATTTTTATCAAAAGGAAATCTTAAAAAAAACTGTTTTAGATTTTTATCTTGCATATTATTATTATTATTATTATTATTATTATTATTATTATTATTGTGTATATTATGTATTTTACCTTGTATATTATTTATTGCTGTTAATGACTTTTTGATTGGTAGAATATTTTTAGATAGATAATTGGTATTTATAAAACGTGATAAACTTGATCTATTTTCTCTTTGCCGTGACATAGCCATAGAAGCTGAAATGGCCATAAAATTACAACTCTCTCTCTCAAATCAGGTATGTACATGTGGCAGATAGGAATAGAAAGAGTGTTTGGATATTAGTTTTTTTTTTTTTACCACATTTAATATTTTTTATTTATTTGTTTGCTGGAAATTAGCACTAAACCGACAGGAATCAGAAGGCGTGGTAATCCTATAAAGAAGAAGAGCACAACTAAAGAGACTTTATTCACACAAGAAAAACAAAAGACTAATGCAAAATGTCATCACTAAGAGAAACGTAAAAAAAAAAATAAATTCTAACGTGGAACTACTGCATTGGATGTCTGGCAAGCATAAGTTTTAGCTGGTTAATTGCTATTGATCAAAAATGAACACCGTGCAGCTGAACGCCATCATGGACAAAATTATGTGTTACACTTTCTTTCTCAGAACTCTGACTTCTGATCAACTACCCGAAAGACCATTAGCTTAAACTTGCATTAGTATTAACTTAAACTTATAATTTCACACATCCCTATGGATGACCGGAGGTGCACTGGTTAGCTGCTTATTTATCACAAGATGGTATCGGATGTTTTGGCAATTCCAGTAACAAACCTGACAGTAAGGCTTGTCTGAAACCGCATACTTCCATAATATACAGTACGCCAAAATTAGTAAGTGAGCCAAGTAGTATGTCCTATTCATAGAAGTCGAAAATCAGTATGCGAGAAGTACCCGGATGACCTAATACTTCTGGCGAGATTATGAAGTGCGCATCTCATGCACACTGCGCTATCCCATGTTGCCCCGTGAGAGAATTCATGAATAGGAGTGAAGCGACACAACTGACGCAGGTTGGTCACGGATATCACAAAATGGCGGATGTAGTAGGAATTCCATATAATGCATTTACCGGATCTTACAAAGATAAAAACTTTTAAAAACCAGACAAAGACCTATTTACATTCAAATTATTATTATTTGCTTGGCCATGACGATTATTTCTGGCCATCTACATCAACGGACAGCAAATTCCTGATATACCTATACAGCCAAACGTCACAAGACTGTTCGACCTTATCACTATCAACCCTATCATCTACTCTGTGTTAAACAAAATCATCAAGGTTCGACAGGGTTTGGTGGATAACTATTGATTAAAAATGAACACCGTGCAGCTGAACCAGGGCTTAATTTGTGCTAAAACATGCCGGATCCGGCACCTGTGAAATTTGATCCGGTACCTCATTGTACCGATCCCCCTCCTTAACTGTCCTCCTTTCTCCTCCCCTTCCGCTGTTCATTTTCACTTTCTTCTGTGACTTCCCAACCCTCTTCACTTTCATCTGCAATACCCCTTCGCCGCCTTGCTAAAATGCATATATAATTATTAAATCTTTATGTAAACCCCTTACATACATATTAAAAAACATATTAAACGTATTAAAACATATTAAAGCACAAGTCGTCATTCATACCAAATCTTAATGAAACATGTTTGTAGCCATAAAAAAGCATAATAATAATAATCTAAATTAAAATACTTGGCAACTTTTTTGTTTGTTGAAGCTTTATACAGCATTCATTGAATCCACAAAAGTCGTGCAAATAGTCTTGATTCAGTGTTGCTACCTCTTATAACTTTCATTCCACCTCTTTGCCATCCCATAAATCATTTTCTAGATCTGCCCCTGACTAGGAGAAACTCTTTATAGTCAAAATCTTCATTAATTTGGGCCCTGGTCTAAACACATCTTAAGAGCAGTATACATTTATATTCATAGCACCACCATTTTTTCTTTGATTTTTACCCATTGAAATGCATATTGCTCATGATACTCTTTTTTTTCCAGCTGAAAAGCACTGGATGGGGGTGGCTCCAGATCGAGAGGACATTTTATTGTTGCTTGCAGCTTTAATTTTATACAATTATTTCATCAATGTGTAATGACCAACTGATGCCAGACATGATTGAAACATGTTGTCCATTAAAAAAGATTTTGTAATCTTGTGGTCGCAAAAAAAATTATTAGCACATTCTGTATTTATTAGTGTTGTATTGATTAGATTCATCTATATATATTTTTTCTTTTTTCTTTTGTTGTTCGTTTTTTCCAGGATGTTTTCCCTTCACGTGCTGAGACCTGAGCAATGGTACAGTGATGGAATAGCTTATCCTAAACTGTCTTGGCTTCGTACTGAACTTCTACCTAAACTGTCCCGGTGGTCTCTAGAGAGCAAAACCTGTGTGTTTAAGAGTACCCTGTCTCTCATACCGGTGGACAAATACAGTATGCTCTACCAGCAGCTGAAACTGAAATATAAAGATTTAGTAAAGGTATCATATTTATTAATTCATACATCAATTCATTAATTGAATCATTTGTTAATTGAGCATATAATCTATTAAATAATAATTAAGGAAGAAAATATTAAAATATTGTCAGTGTTGAACAAAGCTTTAAATACAGTAACAAAAATACAGAACTACTGTTTTTGAGCAGTCTCTTGGTTTAATCTCATATACTACATCTAATATGTATTTTTGAGTTTGTGTAGAGGTAAAGTATTGCATATCTATATTTATAAAAATAAGTGACATTTGTTAATTTTTCAAGGTCTGGCCAGAAGTTACCGATCCACAGAAGTTTGTGTTTGAAGATGTTGCTATTGCTACGTATCTGTTGGTAGGTTGGACTATAGTTTATTTGACATATTTCTGTGATCACAGTTAAAGTTGCATAAATATTGTTAAAGCTGTGAAAATTTTTATTGTGCATGTTAAATCGTCTCACTAATATCACTGTCACTGGTACAGGTCTTGTGGGCGGAAGAGCGTGCTGAAAAGGGAACAACTACCAAACAGTCCTTCGTGGATCTTGGCTGTGGAAATGGCCTCCTGGTTCACATATTAAACAATGAAGGGGTAGGTTAACTAACACATTTTCTGTAGAATTGAATTTTTAAACTTTTTCAATGATTAAAGTAGAATTATAGTAGAATACGTCCAACCTGTAGATCACATGAGCTTTGGATCATTTTTAAAGTTGGCATGAAATTTACTATTCTTATTTTTATATGAATATAGAAGTATTTGTTATAAATTAAGTATATGTGCACTTCATATTTTTGTAAAAAAAAAATATTTTAACAAAATACTTTAAACAAAAACCAACCGCCCCTCCAACTTTTCTTGACTTCTAATCACATGGAATGGCTTTATTGTGGGGCTATCAGTGCATGTCCCATTTCTGCCCTGCCTCTGTCCATTTATCAATCTTTCTCCAATTGTTTTATGAATGCCCATCTTTCAAATATCCACCCATTTTCCCAAAGGTAGAAATCATGTACTGCCCTACTTTTTTTTCTGATTTCAGAAGCAGTTTCAAATAAATGTACATCTTGAGCAGAAAAAAAGGACAACCTTAATTTCCATTTCATGCCGACTTTAATGTTTATCCAGTATTAAAATCAATGATACACCATTTGCTGTTTTGTGGCATTTCATTATATAAGAGATTATAAATATGACTTTGGAATTATACTTAGTTTTTATGATAATCTGTTTTGATTAATCTGAGTCCTAAATTAGTCATGCAATCTTGGGTTTTAGCATCCTGGAAAGGGCATTGACATTCGCAAAAGGAAGATCTGGGATTTGTATGGGCCTGGTACACATCTAGAGGTAAGATTAGTCTGAGAGACTGGACAGTGTCATTGAAAGAAGATACAGTATCTTCCTTTTTCATTAGGAGTGTAATGCTTTTTTTTGTTTGTTTTAAATAGCAGTTTACAATCAGTGGACAGTATGCAAAGTCTAAATACATGTATTTTAGTGGCTTTTCATTTCTGAAGATTACATTTTTAGCTAATAATTTATTAAACAGAAAATAATAAACAAAATGCAGACTCAGACATCAAAGAAGTTACTTAATTAACCAAGATCTATTAGGACTCTATATACAAGGAAACAATTAAACAAGCTGATGAGGGGATAGAGAAAAACAAAGTAATTAGGGTAAACAATGGTGACAGGGACTTACACATGAAAATACTAAACTGAAGTACACACAAGACTGGGATTTATATATATATATATATATATATATATATATATATATATATATATATATATATATATATATATATATATATATGTATATGTTTGTGTGTCATGGCATAAAGATGTGTGGCTTTGGAAGGGAGAGATGTACATGTGATTTTTCAGGTTTTTTATTTTTCAAGAAATTTGCAACAATTTTAAAAAAATCTTTTTTTTTCCCCACATAGAATTTAGAGTTTTAAGGAAATAAATTAATTTAATCCATTTTGGAATAAAGCTATAACATAGCCGGCAGCTAGCTCTCTGCAACTCTCACATGGTCGCCCACTGAAGCTAAGCAGGGCTGCGCCCGGTCAGTACCTGGATGGGAGACCACATGGGAAAGCTAGGTTGCTGCCGGAAGGGGTGTTAGTGAGGCCAGCAGGGGGCGCCCAACCTGCGGTCTGTGTGGGTCCTAATTAGGGTTGTAACAATATACCGGTATGACGGTTTACCACGATTTGAACGTGCACGATTATCATACCATGAACAATTGCATATCAACGGTTTTAACCCTTAAAGACCGAGACAGCCGCCCGCGGCTAAAAATAAGTATTGCTCTTAAATGTTTTATAACTTTTGATCCGCTGATCCGATTCATACAATTCAAAGATTGGCATAAAGAAGAGAATCTCAGCTTTCCAGTGCTGTATCACATAACATTCGCGGACTTTCAGAGGCTCCGGAATCAGTGCGGTTACGTCATCAAAATTTGACAACGCTGATTTGACAAAGAAACGCTCGTCACTGTGTCTCCGGACAAACCAGAGATGATACATTGATGCATTGTCCCTCCTCCATGCCCAGATTGGTTCAAACTCGCTATATCACAACCAATAAGCATAGGTTTCACTTTTGTTTGTGGACCAACACTGAGCTTTTTGAACAACACGGAATGAGAGATAGGCATACATTTCTGCGCGGCTAAATAAAACGCAAAAAAAAAAGTTTTGCATGAAATAATTCTCATACTAAGTACTTTTGCATGCACAGCAGCACAGAAACATGACAAAACAGCGACACAGCAAAGACGAACTGCTGCTCTTGCTGTTTTCAAAAGACACAAATGAAGGTGCAGCTGTTTGTCTGCATTGCAGACAACCATATCCAAATCCATATCCACAGACAACCATATCCATGCTGGCACATAAAACCTAAGGATGTTCCATATTGAATCTAGTTTCGTTATGTAACTATTTATAGTATAGTAAATATTTATATCTATTTTTTACTGAGGATTTGCACCATGTTTATTTGGACTTTGACACATTATTTATTATTTTTTTATTTGTTCATTGTACAAGTGAACACATTCTCTCACCTCAGCGGTCAAGATTAAGTCCTGAAAATCTCAACATGCTTACATTTCTTCATCACAACCTAGACTGAAAAAAACTACGCTTTAAATACATGTTTACAGCCATAAACTTGGTGTTGCACTTTTGGTCTCCCATTTATCCTGCTTATAAGGAAGGACAGTTTAAGTTTATTTTTGTCTAATCTTAAAAGACCCTGCTTGTTTATTCCTTCTAATTTAATTTATTAAAATGGGAGATTTTTCAGTTTATTTTTATAAAAGACTTCTATAGTTCTATTAAAATGGTTCTTTCAAAAGTTTGTTGAAATAAAACCTTTGTTCAGTCAGAAAACGTGTTCTTATTCTTTTCAGGGTCTTTGCTATGAGAATTACTATTTAATACCGTATACGCGAAACCGTCAAACCGTGGTATTGTTTTAGACGATTATCATACCGTAAAAAATTCATACCGTTACAACCCTAGTCCTAATGCCCCAGTATAGTGACGGGGACGCTATACTGCTCAGTGAGCGCCGTCTTTCGGATGAGATGTTAAACCGAGGTCCCGACTCTCTGTGGTCGTTAAAAATCCCAGGATGTCCTTCGAAAAGAGTAGGGGTTTAACCCCGGCATCCTGGCCAAATCTGCCAACTGACCTTTGTCTATCATGGTCTCATCGCTGTCTCCTCTCAACCAATCAGCTGGTGTGTGGTGTGCGGTCTGGTGCAAAATGGCTGCCGTCGCATCATCCAGGTGGATGCTGCACACTGGTGGTGGATGAGGAGATCCCCCCATTGTGTGTAAAGCGTTTTGAGTGCCCAGAAAAGCGCTATATAAAATGTAAGGAATATAAAATGTGGAAAAAATGAAGTGCTATAAATACTTTCCGGATGCACTGTATCTCTGAAGGTCTGCATCTGATTCTAGGTTGAGATCTTTTGAAGCATCAGTAGTTTGTGCCTCCTGAAATTGCACAGCTAAGCCTCTAATGGAGAAAAACCTTCTCATCGCATTAATGATACTAGAAGCACTTGAAGTCTCTATTAATTCATTTTGTACTTCTTACACACAGAAACATGTAAATGACACAGCCCACCTTTTGTTGCATGCTTGACCACCTCTGTTTTTTACAGTAGGTGACTTACCATGGGCTAAATACATCTAAGCCAATTTAAGTGAAAGCTGGGTTAATGTGCAACCTCCCAGCAGGTACATCTGCCTTTAACTGATGCTCAGTTTTCCATGTAATTTCCTGCAAGTGCACTTGTTTCCACCCATATGTTTCTTTTCATCTTGAGATTCAATAATATAGCCCATGCTCTCCCTCCAGATGTCTCCATGCTACCTGCACAGGTCTTCAATGTGTACGGTGATGGGGTGCTTTTGTCATTTGAAGGTCTCAAAAAAGTCTGATCATGCGAGGGACATTACTTTGCTCATTGATGATTGCATATACCTTTTAACCACATGGTAACCATGATAACCACATGGACCCAAAGTCACCATCAAATATTGTCCTGCGCTATTTTGTTGCATTGAGTTTTATGTTTAAAAAAATTTAGGTTTTAGAGCCTGTCTAGCTAGAAAAGTGCTGTGATTTGCTTTGATTTTAATAATGTACCCAAGATAAAATGTAACACAAATTAAGAATCAGCTGAAAGTTTATTAAATATGTTCAGAAATGATTAAATAAATGAGCAAATTAGTAAACAAAATACTGCTGTGCCCCCATGTGACAGTATCATGCATCTGCGACCATACAGGGGAAGATATGGCGATCTGAAAAATTTAATTTATCGCCCATCACTAGCAACACTCTGAGAAACACTCATACCCTCTCTCATTAACACACACACAAAGGCCAATTTAGTTTATTCAATTTGCCTATATCACATGTTTTTGGACTTTGGGAAAACCCACATGAACACGGGGAGAATATGCAAACTCCACACAGAGATGCCAGCTGACTCAGTGAGAGTGCCTGATGCAGAATCTGTGACCTTCTTGCTGTGAGGCGACAGTGCAAACCACTGAGACAAAGGCACATACATTACAACCTCCTTTTAGCGACAGCACCAAGAAAGATGAACACACGGTATAAAAAGTATGGTGACCAGAGTGTAATATGGGACAGACAGCATAATCTTGCATCTATTTCAGTTTACATCCAGAATTATTTTGACCAGTAACAACCATGAGTTTAAAATATTGTATTGAAAGGCAGAGGCTTACAAAATTTGATGCATCACAGTGTACAGAAAAATGAATTTCATTTAAAGCTGTAACCCATCAGAGTGTTTTTAATTCCTCTATCTGTTGTTTGTTGAAGAGGTAAAGATTAACACATTACTGTATTTAATACACTTAAATATTACTTCTAGGTTAATTCCAATAATAATATTAAGAAGTGGGCATAACTTCTGGATGAAATTGAGAGTAATACTAAACTTGGATTAATAGCAAATCTCTATAAGCCAGATCTCTTGTTTTTGTGTTTAAGAGACTATGGCCCAATCCTAATTCTATTTTTTTTTATCCCTACCCTTTTGCCTTCCTCCTAAAAAAAGACCCCCCTTGCCCTTACACCTTCAAATAAAAAAAGAATTTGGACAGGGAAGGGGAAGGGCAATGGGGTAGAATTGGGATTGGGGCTATTTCAAGGAAACAGGAAAGAGAATTCTTCGAACAACTCCAACATCATGCTTTTATAATTGGCACCGCCTCTCACAGCTGCACCAGATTTCCACTCATGCAGCGAGATATAAAGAAATAAGGGAGAACACAGCACAGCAGCATTGTCAAATAAAAAGTTACTTAATATGTAGTACTATCAATCTGAATTGCATGGATTATTTTATGCCCCCCCTCCTGCAGACATTAACAAGACATTCAAACTTGAAAGAAAATTTCCTCACAAAATCATTTCAGTTTCACAGTGTCAACTAGAGTCTGTTTCAGTCAAAATAAATAAATAAGAACACTTCATGAAGTTTAAATAAAATTTATCTATGTATTTTAATATATCAGCGGGATGAGTGGTTCTTGCTATTTTCAACCTAAGGTGACTGGATGATTTGCTGTTAAATTTCACTCCAAAACTATGTACCAATTATGTAGGCCAGTTTATCTAGGGGTATCAGCACATTAACACTCTTCATTACAGGCAAAGATAGATAATCAAACTTGGGTGCAAATAGTTATTACGTGGGAAGCAATTTGCGAGAGAAGTAAAGAAGAGAGAAGAAAGTACAGATTGCAATTCAACATCAGTAATACAAACAAACTTTCTAAATAAACTGACAATTGTCTTGATTCAGTGGCATGGCTTCTAAAAGCATTGTTTCTTTGACTGTAGACTATTTCAGCCATAGATAATAAAATCTTGCTTTTCTTTTTTTTAGGAAAATGCCATCACACCTAGCAATGGCTTTCTTTTTCCCACCACAGACTGGCTGATTGGAAACCACTCAGATGAGCTCACACCATGGATACCTGTTATAGCAGCTAGGCAAGTCAAGTATTTATAAAAGTTAACATTAAATTAGTTAATGCAGTGTTTCTCATCCAGTGGACTGCAGCCCACTACTCAGTATTTCTGCAATTCAATACATTTGTGTAGCGGTCAGAAGGAATGTGATGCTAGTGTTTTACAATCTATGCTTTCCAAAGCATGTGAGAATGTTGTTTATGTGTATATATAGATATTAGATGCCAGTGAGACACACCCCTCTGAAAAACAAAACTCTAATTACAAGGCTGAGCAAAATAACACGAAAATGTGTAAAATTTTAAAGTTTAGAAATGACCATGTCTATTTAAACTAGAGTGCACATTTTTAAACCAAAGTGTACCCCTTCACTGTCTTGACTAATACAAAATATGTGTCATTTTAAAAACTTAGTCTGGTCTTTACAATGCAGTCATTTTGATTAACTTAAGTCATTAAGTAGTGATGAGCTACTTTTAATAAAGTTAAAGAAATAAAATTTCTGAAAAAAACATTCTATAGCTCTGATAATCATACAGTGTTCAACATATAAGTGAGTTTTTGTATTTGAAGTTCCCTTTGACCCATATGAAAAATTATTCATTGGTGAAGCATTATTCATTACCAGACTGTTTAAAATCATATTCTTGCAATTTTAGAAGAACCCAAAATTCACAACAATCTGTCAAACAGGTCTAAAAAAAGATCAAATGTGGAATATGCTCCCAAATGCACTTGGTATTAGCATAAAAAAATGATAGCATTCATATGATGTTTTGCTTCATATAGCACTATTCCATGCTCTGATCATATAAATTGCATACAGCAATACTCAGTCAAATTTTAATAACTGTTGCAGCATTATTTTCAGCAGATTCACTATTTATAACATTTTTGTCTTGTAAATTTGAATGCTCTAATAATCTTAATAAATGGCACAACTACTGTAAATAGACCAACCTTAACATAAATCATTGTTAGGATTTAAAAATGCTGGTTGTGGAGTCAGACATGCATAAACACATTTATTTAACAAATGCAGATCCTGCATTCATGTGGTGTTTTTACACGTGACTCCAAATGCTCAGATTATGGAAAACGACACGGCATTATATACAACTGATTCACAAATAAAAAAGCCTTAAGTTATAATAACGTCTCAAACAAATGAGAATATATTTATCATGGAGATAACACAAAACTACATGAAAGAAAAAAATGTTCAGCATAAAAACAAAGTTACCATTCAAAAACTATATTTTTTTAATTGTAACTTTTTGCTTTAAAATCACACTGATTACTTACAGCAAATTTTACTATAATCAGATATTCCTTGTAGTCGTATAATGTCAAATTAGAAAGATATGGAAAAAGACCCTTTTCTTAATACTTCAGCTATTTCTTAGGCCTTACTCACACTAGGTACAGTTGCCTCAAACCAGGCCAAAGTACGCTTGTCCGCCCTCTAGTCTCCCCCGACGGCCCGCACTCACACCACAATCGGGCCTTGGCACGCTTACGTCATCATTGCTGTGCTGTTCAGTGAGAAGCGCTTTCACTCAGCAGCACAGTGGAGATTTCTCTAGTTATATCGTGTCAGTCGTTTGATACGCGGTGACATGCAGTCAAATATTTCACCAAACAGTCCTTAGGGATACGGTGACACGCAGTCAGATATTTCGCTGAACAGATCCGCCACTTTTGGCGCTCATAATCCTAATGCTCTCATGCTGCAGGAATGTGGAGGTCTGCTGAAGGTGCGCAGCTGTCGTGCAGTGAGGAGTTTGCGTCTTTAATAAACTACGGCAATTTGTGTTTAATGAACAGTAAGAATGATTAATAAATCCATATGAAACAGTCCCTTAAAAGTCACGTCTTGCTTTCAGTTTCCCAAGTGAACCGCGCTCAGGCCCACCTCTTTCAACCGGGCAAGGGCCGGCTAAGTGAACCATGCTTGAGCCTGATTCAGCAAACTCACACTTCTCAAACGATCCGGGAAACGGGCCTGGGTACGGTACGGATGGCATAGTGTGAGTAGGCCCTTAGCATGATAGGATCCTACTGTAATGCAAACCTAGAAATATAGAAAGTTGTTTATAAAACAATACTCAAATTTTCTTCCTGCTACTGTTTTGAAGCTATGAATAATTACTTTGTTGTCACACAAGTAAAAAAAATCTGCCAGTAATCAAGCAAAAGGCATAGTCCTGATCTGTCTCCAATTGAAAATGCATGGTCCATATTGAAAAGAAGTATTGTAAAATTTTAGAAAGATATTGCTTACAATTGTTTAAACAATTAAAGATTGCCATTAAAGGAAAAGCTGACTTGACACTGATAAACATGCATCTGTGCCAAGAACAATATCTGAGGAAATGATCAATCTCATCTTAAAAATCATTAGTTGTAATGTTGACAAAAGGAAATAGAATTATTCTTTGAACATGTTTAAGGTTATTCTCTTGACAGCAGTTTTTGCTCTTTTTTTTTCCTTTATGAAAGACTGGCTGTGTTCGAAATGCTTTACTATCATACTACTTTTACTATTTGTGTAGTATCCAGTATGTACTGTAAGCTATGCATAGTCTGAAAATGTTCTGTATGCAGGGAAATATAACTCAATTCAATATACAACCTTGATTTGAATTACATATAGTAAAATGTACCATTAAACTCATATTGTAATGGCAGTATGTAATATCTTTACTAGGAATAGTATACACATTTTCTGTATACATTTAAATCCCAGATTCCCAGCTAGTGTTGCCGAAATCTGATACATGTATCTGGGGACTCTGGGTAATGTAGGATACTGTTTCCCAGAGCAAAATGCACTACACGTAACCGTTCATCTTTAAAAATAGAGTATGCAGCTTGGGTGGACCGGAGGCAAAGAAAATTTTAAATGTAAAACATTAATAATTAGAGTTAATTCTTTATTAAAAAATACATTTTTATGTAGCTGTTTTCTAAAGTGCTATTTTATTAACAGCTTGATATCATAATTTTTATAGCTCTTTTAATTCACTTAAATCTAAATTCTAAGTTGTAATTGATTTAATCAAGGATAACGTGATACATGACTCATAAATACATAAATCCACGCATGTATGAAAAAGCAAACACTGAATATGAGCACACTCTACACACGAATCACTATAACGTTATATAGTTCTGCTTAATCACAGTTTAGTATATTCAATTAGTTGTTGAAATTAATGTACAGTGTTTTATAGTAGATACTTACTGAAAAAAAAAATTTTTTTTTGAGAAGCTTGTAGTCATTGTTGATGATTTGATACATTTTACTTGTGTTTATTTGTTAAAGTTACACCTGTAATTGAGCTTTTTACTAGTAAATATTTAAGAATATCTCCTGCGACATTTCAGCATATGTTTGTCAAATAGAATAAAACAATCAATGTTTAAATGTTGTTGTAGTTGTTTTGTTTACAACAATTACAAAGAATTTAAAAGTATTGAACCGGTACATATAAGGTAACAGATGGTAGCACTGATGACCAGATACAGATGCCACAGGAGCAGGGAGACACAGGGACCAGACTCAAAGACCATTAACGACCAGACAGGAGATCAGAAGTCGCTAGGCTAGGTAAAAGGACGAGAGTTTAGTCCTTTGGTATGATGAGCTCGGACCCTGAGTGCTGACTGAGGGTTGACCATATATAGTGAGGAGATGATGCGGTTAAATGCAGTGCAGGTGCGGGGTTTGTGATTGTGAGAGATAAAGTGATTGAGGAAGGGGGTATCCTGGCATGGCTATGACATTACCCCCCTCACAACTGCCCTCTTCACTAACGTCTTGGGAATCTTCCTCTTCCTTGGGGAGCAGGACTATCGGGATCGGATGCATGGAGTTCTTCTAATAGAACTAGATCTAGGATGTCGTCATTGGGAACTACTGGACCGTATCCATTGGTATTCCTGTCTTCCCCCACGCCGTCTAGAATCGAGCACCTCTTTCACCTGAAAGATGGATCCCTCTTCTGTAAGTGTTGAAGGAGGGGGTTCTTTGGACTGGCCAGGTTCTGTGGAGACAGGTGCATAATATGGTTTTGTGTCTCTAGACAACATAGAGATGACTCAGCTCATGGTGAGCTGAGTCCCAGACCTCTTCACTTTCCCGGAACCAGTGGTCGTCAGCTGAACACCCGATGTTTCCTCTGACAAAGGGAATAACAGGGGCTCGAAACACTGACAGGTGCATACTCAGCCCAGCCCAAAAACTGAGTTTTTGCCATGGCACATTCCATCCACTTCTGCATGAACCTTCTCATGTACTTTGCCATTCCTGGCATCCAGAAGCAGTCTTTTAGCAATGAGAGGATCTCATTGGCCCCTGGGTGGCCAGTGCCCGGTTATGAGTGAGCAGACAGGATAAGAAGAGTACATTGTGTTATGTGGGTGTATTGTAGATCAGGAGGACAGCCCAGTGGAATGGTGTGCGACCCTTCCATATGCCACAGTCATATCACCTTGCAGTTCAAGGCCAGTTACTCACCAAAGCTAATAAGTGCTGAGACTGGTTAGTACCTGGATGGGAGACCGCATGGGAAAACTAGTTTACTGTTGGAAGTGGTGTTACTGAAGTCAGCAGGGGGCGCTCAACCTGTGATCTGTGTGAGTCCTAATTCTTCAGTAAAAGTGAAGGAGACACTATAGTGTCTGTGGGCACCATGTTTCGGATGAGATGTTAAACCAAGGTTCTGACTCTCTCTGTTCATTAAAAATCCTATGGCACTTCTAGTAAAAAGTAGGGATGTAACCCTGTTGTCCAAATTCCCTCTGTTGCCCCTTATCCATCATGGCCTCCCAATCATTCCTATCCACAGAATTGGCTCTATCATCCTCTCTCAACTCCACCTACAGCTGGTGCGCACTGGAGCCATTGTCCTGTGGCTGCCATCGCATCATACAAGTGGCTGATGTTTTTGGGTGTATGGCCATACACAATAAATGTGCTATATAAATACTCACATTACATTACATTCCAGGGAGGT